CAGCTGGGAGGAGGCTCACGGTCAAAAGCACGAGGGGGTGCTACAGGAGGTGGGTCTGCAGACCAGGGTAGGGCAGGAGGGCTGGAAGCACCCGGAGGACTGGCAGGAGGGGGCCACGTACACGACCTGTTTGTAGCTCACGGGCACACGCACAAAGGACTGGCAGGAGGGGGCCACACCCACGGTGGGCCTGCAGCTCACGGGCAGGCACACGGGCCTGCAGCTCACGGGCACGCACACAGCTGGCTTACAGGTCAGGGGCACATAGCAGGACGCCTGGCAGGGCCTGGACGTGCAGCAGGACGCCTGGCCGGAGCTGGGCACGTAGCAGGCAGCCTGGCAGCCGGAGGAGCAGCTGGTGTGGCACATGGTGGCTTAGGGCTGGGCTGGCGTCGGGAGGAGGGCGGTGATGTCTGCAGCCTCCCTGCCCGGGCGGCCTTTATACCCGGGCCGTGGGCGTCCCAGCAGCACAGAAGCTCACCTGCTGACTTCCTCGAGGTTGTTGCCAACGCCTTATTATCATGGGACGCACTTTCCTGTATTGTTCTTCACCACAAATTAGTTTGGCTTTGAGGCCAATTCCTCCGCCCGTAAGCAGGATGTTCTGGTCTGACTTTACGTGGGGTGTGTGTTGTTCCTCCGGCCATCACTGTGCCCAGCGCACCCTTGCAGGGACTCGGTGCTGTAACCTCTTACTCCTTTAGGTCTCATGACGTCAACGAAGACTTTGAGGCAATACTGTACTTTGAGGGTTTTTTGCAGAGGAAAACGCCGAAGCCGGAGCCTGTGGGACAGCGCTGGCCTGCTGCCTGTGTGGCAGCGGAGCTCTGTGGGCACCGCCCGCCTGCGTGCTTAGCGTCCGGGGCCGCTCGCCCGGCCACGCTGAGCTGTGCTGAGGAAGGCCGCGTGACCGCGGAGCCTGAGAGTCTCGCTCTCTGCCCTTTACAGAAAGTTCGCCGGCTCCTGCTTCACAGTAATCAGTACAAGAGCTGGTTCGTTCATGCAACAAATTACACTGCGTGCTGGCGAGAGAGATGCCCCCGCCGCCTGAGCCTTCCAGGGCAGTGAGCAAATGAGTGCATGAAACATTCGTGCATGAGATGATTCCAGAGGGGCTGAGTCCCGGAAAGGAGAGCAGGCTCAGCAGGTGGAGAGAAGTGGGGAGCTGGTGGGTGGTCTGGGGGCCTCGGGAGGGGAGGCGACGCTGAGCTGGCTCTGCGTCCAGAGAGGGGGTCGGGGCGGCGCTCCAGGCAGAGGCAGCCAGGGGGCTGTGAGGACACGGCTGCAGAAACGGGCAGTTCCAGGGGCAGCGGGGAATCCCACAGCTCGGGCCGACAGGGTGCGGGGGCCGGTGGAGGATTCCGACCGTGGGAACCGAGGAGCAGGCGTCACCACCCTGGGCTGATAGAGGAAAGGCTCGGTGGACCTGAGGACACGTCAGTGGAAATCATCCAACCTGAAGAAGGGGGACAAGGAGCTAAGAAAGATGAGGAGGCCTGTGAGACAACATCAGAGAGGCTAACGTGCAAGTGATTTCTGCCGGGGAGGAGAGGAGAATGACACTGATATATAAGAAAACTGGGAAGAAATAGCAGATAAAATTCCCAAATTTGACTTTTTAAAAAAAAATTCCAATTGACAGATGCAGGAATCTCAGAGCACACGCCCAGGGCCCCAGCGCATGCGGCACAATGTGAGGACCCGGGACCCAGGGGGCTGACACCTCCAAGTACCTGCTTCTCCGTCTCAGCGCTGAGACCGTGCGCCCGTCATGGGCTCCTTCTGAATCGCCCTGAGGGACCGCCTGTGCACACGGGGCTCCAGCCGCCCCCGGGCGGTGGCAGGACTGGTCATTAATCGGTTACAAGGGGGTCCACGTGAAACGCTTAGCTCAGCCCCGGCACGAAGCTGGAACCCCGTCGCTGCGATCGTGGCAGTAATGTGGCTGCGGCTCCCAGTGAGGAGCCCAACCCTGCGGAAGAACCTCCTGGATCACTGAGTTTCCGCATCAAAGTTGGGGACGCTGTGCTTGTGCGGACGGACACAGGGTCCTTACAACTGGGGCGGACCCTGAAAATACGATGTGAGACTTCCGTCCCCACATGGTGGCCCTTCCCTATCCAGCCCAGGCTCCAATCACAGAAGTCGCAGGACCACTGTGTCACTGGGTGCCTCCCGCTGAGAAGGAGCTTCCTGAACTGGGTCACTTCCACCGGGAACTCCAGGAAGAGACTGTGGGGAGGGACGAGGAGGAAAAACAGCAGGCGGCCGGGAGGAGGGCGCTCGCGTGCCTTGCGGCCAGGA